ATATATATATATATATATATATATATATATATATATATATGACATGTATTTAACAAAGGAATAGAAAAAAGAAGAAACTGAAGAGTAAAAATATTGAAGCAAACAAAAAAATAGAAAGCACAATACACGGAGACTGTATCAACAAAACAAGGTAACACTAAAGAAACGCTGGAAATGTAGCAAACTTTAATATTACGTCTTCCTTAAATAAAATAAAGGTAAATAACAAACAAAAAGATGAACTAACACATGATTTTGTCCCTTGCTTGAATGTCATTGTTTTATCTCGAGAGGAGAGGGAAACATACAGAAGTTAGACCATCTAAAGGAGATCAGTGTACATTATTTACAGCAAGTTTGTTTGCTTATTACAGGGCTAATGCATCACAGAAACATAGACAGTTCGGTTATAGCTACTACAGACAGAAAATAACTTAATGCCAATGTATGGTATTCTAGCCAGATTTTCTAAGTTTCAAAGCACCCATACATACTCATTCTGGTTTAAAAATAAACAAACCCTAACTGTTAATGCTTTCACTTGTTTTCAAGCAAGGTTATAATCACTAATAAATAAGCTCCGTAAAACTATGACATGTACATTGTACAAAAAAGCAACTTATCTTCACACGAGTGTTTGTAAAGATTCAATGACGAGCAAAACAGTTCATTTGATTTTATCCTCGTCTTGTTCTCCTTCTCTGTCTTCTGTGTATGTCTACATGTGTACAGAATGCCTAAAGGCATCTTTGCGTGTCTGAGCCCAACATGAGCACACTAATTGGTGACGATTTCTTTATTGTCCTCCATGAAGCGGGTGAACCGGAAGTGGGACCCGTTCTCTGTGTTGGCCATTTTCTCCAGACCAGCAAGAGCAGCATTGGGCTCTGTGTTGTGTAGTTTGTCCAGGCTTCCTGTGAGGCCACCTATGGGAGAGCTGCCCCCATTTCCCACACCACCTGACATAGGGGGAATGCCTCCATTCTGAATAACAGAGATTTCATTTGTCTTCATTGCCAGGCCATTGGAGAAGGCTGCGGCATATTGGTTCCAAAAACTAGCCGGGTCCCCATTGCTTGCCCTTGATACCATGTCTTTTTGGAAGATTTCAGGGAACTTGACTGGATTTGTGCCCAGGAAGGCCATTGGACCATCCACAGAGAGCCTACGGCCACGTCTGGCAGGAGCGCTGTTCCACATGTGTGTGCCCATGTGAACCTACACAGATGGAGAAAGAGGAAGAAAGCAAAGGAATAAAAGGAGTGAAGCAAAGACAAAAAGCAATGAGAGGGATACAAATTTGTGTTGTTTACAAAACTTGGCCACAGGAGCTGCACATGAGATGATGCAATGGAAAAAATAATCATAATGCTTGACGGTAATTAAATAGCTTCACACCCTGGGAGCAGCAGTCTAGTTAGCCGCATAAGCTGCAAAATGTACCAACATGGTGTAAACATCTTACTTTGGCAAGACTGATGCGTGGTGTTTAATCTTAACTTTAATTAGCTCTTCTCACGAGGGGACCACAGAGCTCGAGCCAAAATTACACTGTCCAGTTTCATTGCACAGGCCAGTATTACATGCGACATTTCACCTCTGCCAACAACCTTTGCTCTCAAAGATTTTCACTCCTTCATAATCTTTAAACACAGACAGCTGTGCTTGAATGTAATTTTTTGAAGATCCCTACATAAAAGTTGAGATGCTTTTATCTGATTATTTCAGACCAAAATGTTTAACATCAATCACACAAACATAAATAAAAATAAAAACACATATTACCATTTGATTAGAAATTGGCAGAGTCAAATATTACATGTAATTTTATAGTCGGTGCTCTTGAATTTCTATACATCATTAAACAAGTGCTTTTGCATTATATAAGCTTGTGACTCTTCCAGTTTACCCAGAAAAATATAGATCGACTGACCTAGCTTACTGTGTAAATTAACTCAGTGCACCAAATCATTCCTGCTTTCAGTCATCTTACAATCTGGCACTTCTCCCAAGCAGTCATGTTAGTTGTGTGAATCAACTTTTCCATTAAGGTATTTTTTTCTCTCACAAAACAGCTCCTTTCATTAATTATACAAAATTATCACCAATAGATGTCAAGTTTGCTGAAAAGCTATATAAAACTAAATAGGACACCTGAGACTATTTTTAAACCAATGTTCTCACGCACAAATTTATTGGAGACCAGCAGCCTTCAGGGAGTTTCAATATTTACCTTGAGGTTTCCTTTGGTGGTGAAAGCCCGGCCACAGATACTGCAGGCAAATGGTTTCTCCCCTGTGTGGGTTCTCTCATGAATTTGCAGAGCACTGGAAGAGGAGAAACATTTCCCACAGGTGTTGCAGAAGTGTTGCTTGGGTGTTCTACGTGGTGGAGCAGCAGAGAGTACTGGTGACGTGGAGGCTGATGATGTGACCAAGCCTGGGGTGACGTCTTTGCTTTCTTGGTGGAGGCCATGAAGGAAACCGTTGACCTCAGGTTTGCTGAGAGACCCAACAGAGAGAAGGGAAGGGGTTGGGCTGGACGATAAGCTGGTATTTGATGGCTCAAAGAGCTGTGAGGGCAGGTCTCTCATTTGATGAGTTAGCATGTGCTGCTTGAGATTGCCCTTCGTAGAGAAACCCCTGTTGCAAGCGGTGCAAATAAATGGTCGTTCTTTGGTATGGCTTCTGTAGTGAATGTCCAAGGCACTCTGACAAGCAAAGGTCTTCCCACAGATGTCACAGGATGTGTTCTTAATGGTGTTACGCTCACGAAAGGGGAATATCATGCCCAGGGGGTCTTTCGAGGCATTGACAGATGTCAGATCTAGGGCTCCAATGTTGGAGGGATGAGAGTGCAACAAGCTTGCACTGGTGTGGTCAGAAGATAAGGCTCTCTGATGCCTTTCTTCAAAGCTTGGAGATTTATGTAGATGTGACTGCATGTTACTTGGGGATAGTGCCTGCATGGAGGAGGTAGATTCAGACACCGCCGGACTCCCAGCACTTTGACTGTCAATATCTCCTCCCAGAGATGAGGAATCATTAGTGAGGCAATCCCCTTCAATTAAACCATTTGAAATTACCTTCATCTGGGTAGCTGAGAGCTCTTCCATTTCATTGTGTTGCACATTTTCCTGACCATTTCTTTCTTGCCTTTCTTGGTTAGTTATTTCAGCAGGAGATGGAGAATTACATGAACTGTCATGGGACGCATCAGCAGACCTTGGTGTGTCTGGAACACTGCTATCTAGACCATCTTCCATCGCCTCAATGTTATCATCAGAGAAGTTGTCCAGATCATCAAAGTTTCTCTCCTCAAAGGAACCAGTATCAGAAGCCATGGACTCTGGATAACTGTCTGGCAGAGGGGTGTTGGGGATCTGCCCACCCATATGCATGCGAATATGTTGCTGAAGAACTACAGCATTTGTAAACTTCTTCTGACAAATAGGACAGGAGTGTTGAACTCTAAGAGGAGGCATAGCCCTATGGACACTGTAGTGGGTCTTAAGATTTCCCTTAGTGGTAAATGCTCTGCCACAGACCTTACACTTGAAAGGTCTTTCCCCTGTGTGAGTACGATAATGCATCTTCAGAGCACTTTGACAACTCAGCACCCGATGGCAAATGACACATTCGTTCGGGTCTGTCACCTTTCTGTCAATGTTTTCCACAAGTTGCTGCAACTTTGAAGTCTCTGACCCATGGAGAGGATCCAGGATGCCACCAAAGGGGAATTTAGCCTTGAATTGATCGGTCAGAAGAGGCATGAGTGGATTGGTCATCATGGGTGGGCTATTAGAAGTTGTATATTCTGCAATACTTTCTGAGGCAGAGCTCAGATTAGTCATAAAGCCTGAGGAATGGCTGCCTTCTTCAGTTTTTCCATTTGAGGTAGGCAAAGTTGCACCTTCGCCTTCTTCAGACACTCCCTCATTACTTTTAGCTGAAGGCTCAGTAGCACCTGAGTCATTCTTTGCAGTAACAGAAGGGCTTGTAATGGCTATTGAATGATCTTCCTTTTTTATGAAGTGGGGGAGGCTTGGTATGGTTGGTGGCAGTAACATACCAACGGAAGTTGTTAGAGTGGGTAAAACTGGTTTGCTGTCCAGCCAGCTTGTGACAGGTTTCTCAGGTGGCATAGACATGCCATATGGTATACCTGTGCTTGTTGGTATGTTATCAAGATGTTCAGGAACAGGGTAAGGGTTCATCTGGATATGTGGGTATTTTTCTTTATGACGCTGAAAATGCACCTTCAGATTACCACGGGTAGAGAAGCGGTTACCACAGATATTACACTTGTATGGTCTCTCGCCAGTGTGAGAGCGAAGGTGGATTTGCAAGGCACTATCACTCCCAAATACCTTGCCACAAAATCTGCACTTGTGTTTGAAGAAAGCCTCGTCAGAGCTGCTCTTTTGTTCAAATGAAGTTACATTTGGTGGCTTGCCTTTCCTTTGCTGGGCCAGAACCGCTAAAGAGTTTAAGTCTTCTACAGTGGACCCAACGTTGGGAATGGAGCTAGAGAATATGGGGTTTCCGGATGGGGGCTGAGGTAGAAGGGGATTCACTGCAGAGCTCAACAAGCTACCTATCCCAAAAGCTGGTGTTGATGATTTAGCTAGTGAGGAGTTGCTAAGCTGAGAGTGGAGGCTACTCATGACACTAGGTCGCTTATCAGTGGACTGAGGATTGACTGTTGATGGTCCCAGTGTGGTAACGCTCTGAGATGTCTCACTGCTGCTTGGGTTGGACTGAGGTAGCTGTGCTGCTGCAGCCAGCTGTTTTAGGCTGCTAATGCTGGCTGACTGACTCGCCAGGTTCTGTGCAAGGCCTGCGGCTGCAGCCAGCTGTTGAGAGAGATGTGAGCTGAGTGTCGTCAGTGGGCTGGCAGAGGGCCCCATTGAGCCTGGAGCAGAAGTTGGGGGTACCTGCATTTCTGGGGACTGGGAAGCTAATAACAGAATCTGATGGCGAATTTGTTCTATAAGCTGCAGCTGGTGAATCTGCTGCTGTTGCAGGGCTAAAAGCTGCTCCATTAGGGCTGGCACAGCCACCCTGGGACCACCAGTGGATCTGGCCTCTTGGGAGAATTGAGCCACAGCCACTTTAGTGCTCTGCAGATTTTCAATTATGACATTGCTGTTTATCATGGAGAAGTTCCCAAGTTCAGTTAGGTTACTGAGCTGAGGCAAGGAGGCAGAGACTGCTGAAGTACCCACAGCGGCGCCTGAAGTGCTCCTGCCCGTGTGACTGCTGACTGTATTGAGAGGGCTTCCTCTCCCAGTTTGGCTGCATTCTTCTTCGTGACCGCTGCTTATTCCAGAAACATCTACATCCATGAATTCGTCTTTTTCAAGCGTGTTGGGCTCTAAAAGGTCACTGGACTCCGTTTGATCAGTGTTAGGCGTTTCATTCATCTGGTCATCTGGATTATGAGGAGGAGATCCAGGTGAGAAAGTTCCAGCAGGGGAGGCAGGATTTTCATTGACTATCAAAACTAACTGATTCTTAGTGCAATTTTTCTGGTGTTCTTCAAGATCGGAAAAGTAAAAAAACTCAGCACAACATCTGTTACAGACATGGACGTCTGACTCCTTGCAGGAGGCGTCTTCAGAGCAAAGTTCCGTGTCCCCTGAAATAGAGGAAACAGAGGATTAGTGATTAAAGATTATTTTGCAGCTGAAGAAGCAGCTTTATCTCTTCAAATTCCACTGTTGTTAATCTTAACTTAATCATTTTTACACTTATCCTTTTGATGTGTTCACAAAAAACAGTGATCTCAAGGCAACAATAAGCCCAACAAAAATGATAAACGCCTTTCAATTCAGTGGCCTCTGAAACACGATAAAAGAGAATACAAAAATCAATGAGAACTATGCAAATAATGCTTAAAAGTGATCTTTGAGGATGTACATCTGAGTTTCATCAGCCAAGCAAAGGTAATCATTTTCTTCAGATAATCCATCAAAATATAAAACAGAGTGAATTGAGGACATTTGGTCCTAATGAAATTTCATAGCAAAACATTGATTTCCTATATTCCATGCCCTTTAATGTCTTCTTGTCCACTCTGTGCAAATAAAGCATTTGAAGGACTTATTAGACTTTCAATTCACTGTCAACTTTGCTCATTTTCAGCGAACTATGGGCATCTTGGACAGGTTATCCATGTCGCTAAACTAATTTGTATCCGCTCTGCTTTGCAATCACAGTTAGACAAAAACAAAGGAGCCTGTGGGGCTCAAACTGGTTACACACACACACACATTGAAAAAATTAAACATAATAAAACTGAAATAATTTTATAGCAAAAACAATTTAGTTGATTTAAAATGATATAATTATTTATCACGTTTATCTAATTAAAAAAACAATAATTCTTCAGGTCAAAACATATTCAAAACAATAAAAAACAGACAAAAGTGCAGGGTTTATAAATGCAATGAAAAAAAAAAACAAATTTTGTTTAAAATGAAGAGCTTGGCCATACATTAAAATTCATGCTTCACAAACTGGCCAAAACTGAGAAACTGGACGCTCTGGCTAATAAAGCAAGTAAAACAGAAACAGCACCGTCTGCTGATAATAATTTGAAAGCAGTGAGTCCTATTGACATGCACCCAGGAACAGGTTTTAAAATTTTACATTTTAATGAACGGGACAAATCAGGAAGTAAAACAAGGCAGGACGACACCCTGCCCCCTGAGCCACTGCTGTGCTCCAGACTTTCCTTATTCATTCCTTCCTTTGTCACACTAAAATCTCACTATTTAACATACAAGTTGATTTACAAATTGCATTTCTCTATGAATCCCTTTCATTGTAGCCCCAGCCCCTCAACACTTTCATCAGGGCCAAGAATTCATTTGCAAATGAAACCCAGAGAAGTGCAGCCCTGCCCCACAGAGAGACAGGATGCCTTCCCATTGTTCACGCAGCATGGGAGCGGCGGGGATCGTCGGCACAGCCTGGCCCTGCTCATCTCAGTCGACTCAAAGCAGATCCTGTTTAATTCAGGGATTATCTCCCTCAATGTTTCTCCGCTCAGAGACACTGGATAACACAAAGTTGCCATGACAGTAAACCCCCGGCCCTCACACCACCAAACCATGCAAACAGAGAAGATTCAACTTTAATGATAACTTTTCATGTTAAATCCCCTTTCCACCCACCCGCCGACCCACACTGAGCGTCAAGTTTGGGAAAAAAGTGACTGATTCATAGAATAGAAAATGTGTGACTTCAGTAAACACACTTTTTCCTTTAACTTACACAAATAATAAAAAAAAAAATTAATCATATGTCATAGGATCAAACCTATTAGTACAACAGACTTCTAAAAGATAATTAATAAAATATGTGCATTTAAGTGTTTATATAAAAATGTAAAAATATGTACAAAATGTACACAAATAAATTAATCATTAAACAATTATTACACAGAACTACTTGTGTAATTTGAAAGTAAAGTTTTGTCACATTTACTACCCAACACTATATACATATATATATAAGTGATAAGCAATATTTATCAATTATTCATTGAATAGTTAAACAAATCCTTCAAAAGTTTTAATGTAAATTTGTAAAGCCAATTTTTTTTTATCATTAATAATCCTAAAACTAGCACCTAAGAATCTCAATCTCCAAAATAAATGATTAATTTCCATGCTCATAAGCAAGAATCATAAATGTAATTTCATCACAGTTCTGCAGCAGTTTCATCCAGACTTTTTTTAATCTAAGTTTGACAGCAAAAAAAAAAAAAACTATAAAAATGGTGTAGATTGTTTCACGACCAACTCCAGCGACTGTACAAGTAAAAATCAGCTCCATGAACTGTCATCTCTTACTTGATGACCAAGGAGGGATCCAGACTGAGTCAATGCATCACTTCAAACTGTCCCCAAAAGAGAAGTATAGCCAACAGCGCAGATGCTAGCATTAGGCTTAAGTCCCAAAATAGCAAGGATTAACATGGAATTAAAATGAAGATAAAGTCAAGTAGGTATGAAGGATTGTGTAAAACCTTTAAAGAAACCATACGCAAGGCTCAGTGTCAGGGTGTCAGGAAAAACAAAGCGCAGCAAGACAGAAACTCGGGACAAACTCAGCAAAGTGTGAATCGGACAAATCAGAAAAGCGAGGATTAGTCGAGAAGGAAAAAAAAAAAAAGTTGACAAGAGTTTTGAGAGTTTTCCTACATTCTTTTTGTGTGAGCTTCTTGACACTTGTAACTTCAGGAGGGTTTCTGCTCACGTCCTCTCCGGCCCTCAGGACTCATCCCACTGAACACTAGATGGGGTTCCACTAAAAGCTGCCGTGGTGCAGGACAACAGGAGTCTCAGAAACTCTGCCCCGGTGACACGGTTAAAGCTTGAGGGGAGGGAAAAAGACAAAGCAGCTCCTTCATGCTACACCTAAACTCACACCACATAAACACTGGCAACTTGACGAGCAACTGCTCTCTTTCTTTGAAGAACAACTGTGTGGTGGAGGGGGAGGAAGGAAGGGGGGGGGGGGGTCCTAACTGCTCTCCTTTTTGGGAGGGGGGCCACTCCGATAAGACACGAGGGGATGGATACAACACTGATCAAACCTCGCTGCGTTGTATAAAAAGGCCAGGCCTCGCTGGGCTGCCTGCAGCTCCGCTCAGCAAGCGTCATGGCGAGGCTGAGAGGAGCACACCGGGCCCTGAACTCTGATCGCCTCCACACGGAGGGGGGCCACTGACAAAGGTTAAAACAGCTCAACATCCCACCCTCTGCAGCTCTCGCCCCGACCTCCCAGCAGCCACGGCCCTCAGCATCACAATGACTTTCTGCTCCACTTCCGGATCCCACAGCTCTCCACATTTATTCTAAACACCGCTTCAGCAAAAACACACCGCGTCTAATCACACACACAAGACACTCAGGTATTTTTAATATGTGGGAATGTGCGGCACTTAATTAGGAAAAGTTATAGCCTGTTAGAGCAGGAGGAACAAAAATGAACTTTTTGTTTATTGGATTTAAAGGAAAAACGCAGTTCTCAGAATTGAACTTCCTGAAAATCACATGCACTGGGCGGTGGATGCGCCTCCATACATGACTTTTTGTAATGAAATATTTGAAACGAGCTGCACGTGCTTTTTGGGTCACCTCAAATGGAAAAACACAGAGAGGCAGGCGGGAATATTTAGAGTTCATTGATTCAATTTAAGGATGCCACAAGATAAAAAAAATAAAATGTTCACAGTCATCATTTCATTTTATTTACTTTTCATTTGTGGCATTTTAAAACTGTAAATGTTTTAAAGTAATTTTGTTCACACAGCTGAGCATTAATTTTTTAATGAAAAGCACAAGAAACAGTTGCGAAGGTATTCCCTTTATTTTTGTTAGACTGGTTGAAGCATTATTCGTGTTATCTATAACACTCTTGTCAAATCAAACTGTTATTGATTTTTTCCTGTGATTATTCTTTTCTTATCAAAACTAGAAAAGATGCAATTAAATCTAACTTTGATGCCTTTGCTGGACTTTGAAGCAGGACTTCACAGTCGCCACTTTTTGCACAAACTCCTCTTACATTTAAACTTAAAGCCTCTGCAAACATAAGTATTCAAGCATGCAGTACTTAAAAAAAGAAAAGAAACAGAAAGTCAAAATAAAATAAATAAAAATATTTGTTTTATTTTTGACTCGCACTTGATTACAATTTAAAACTTATTTATGTCGCAATAAAAAGGTTTAAAAAGGAGTGTGTTTTAGTAAAAGGCTGAACTTTTAGATTTGTTTTTCAAATTTGAGCAACAAAAGTTTAAAAGATCGGTGAAATTAATAGATCACCAAATAAACATTAAAACAGATGTTTGTAAGTTTCCACTCATTTTCGGACCAGTCGATTTTCTTTTTAGCCAAATTGTGGAAATAAATTAGGAACGTGTGCAAAACAAGTTAAGGCTTTATTATTTAAATAATATTATTGTTATTTCGCGACAGACAGACGCACATTTTCTGTCCAAGAAAGGCGCAGAGGGGATGGAGGGGACATCTCTGTCCCGGCTGCGATCCGGGGTCCGGGTGCGCGCACAAGCCCACCCCCGGTGAGCGTCCTTACTTTAGAATAATAATACTATTTTTTTTTTAATTATAACAAAACCGTGTAAACGCGACACTATCAAAAGTTATCAAACTCTCAGCACTCACACACGGAACTCAAACGCGACAAAAATAAATCATCTCAAATCAAACATTTTTTTTGAATTATTACGTCATCTTATTATCTCTTTTTGATTAATTCCGACAAGAGTCTTCAAAAGTGCTTCAAAATAAAAGAACAGAACATTTTAAGTAGTTTTAAATTGCTTTTTTTTTTTTTTAAGTTTTGAAAGGGAAAAAAAAAAAAAAGATTCTCCTCATCCAGATAGAAAAAAAAATTAAAATAATAAAAAAAAAAAATCATAAAAGTTTCCTAAAACTCAAAGTAATAAGTTGAACCTTCGGCAGTCTTCCAAAAACAACAATAACAACAAGAAGAAGTTACAAATAAAAACAAAAAGTGTGAGAAATTCTGGGTTCCGGGATGAAAGCAGACCCCCCCACCTCCCCCCCAGCTTTGACTCGGACTCACCATTGTGCTCGGGTAAAGGCAGATGCGGGTCGGACTGGAAGTGTTGCGGCTTCGCCTGTTTCCTCCGCGACATGCTGGCTGGCACATCAGCAGGCAGAGAATAAAAAAATGACTACAAAACCTCCTCAAAAATTACGTAAATCGAGCCCCATCCACCGCGCATGTGCCCCGTTATGATTATCAATAATGCCGTGCGATTAATCATACAGGAGAGGGGGGGTGGGGGCTCCTTTGAAAGGCGATTGGCACCTTGCCAGCCCCCCCTCCTATTCAAATGAAGTCTCTTTAATCAATTAGCTCCTGATTTGCTGGGGACTCTTGTCTCTCTCTCAGCTCCCACCCAATGAGTTGATCCGCGCGGGGGAAGGAAGGCTGGCTTCTCCAAACTCCCCCTTTGGAAACGCTTTAACCCCTTGTGTTAGGCAAAGCCAGGCGCTTTATCTTGACCACTGCAGGGAGGGGGAGGGGTCAGCTTCTCAAGTCCATTCCTGCGACGTCTTTAGGCTCGATCAGTCCGCTTTCCTCTTTTTGCCTTCCTGTGCGTGCGCGATCTCCAACCAACTTTTTGCGCACGCAGCTCGAGGACCCGTTCAGCTTTTCAGACGTGTTTGTGGAGTTCAGCTCTTGTCGTGTTCAGCGCCTACTGTCTGAGGAGTTTCAAGAAGAAGACGCGGGGCTGCCGGTGCGCCCCCCTCCTGCCAAACAAGGAGCATGTTCCGCGCGTAAAACCGAAGCGCGCGTTTCCACCACCCCTAAAAACAAAAAAGAGTCCAGTCTGCGTGATTTGACGTCCCAAAAAGGATTTGCTTTCATAAATTCACGTATAATTAAGAGAAAGGGACACGTTTTCATCACGCACTGCTGTTCCGCGAATAAACAAACTTTGAGGGCCCGTGCGGCAGTGGGACAGGCGCGTAGCCTCGCCCACCCGAGACGTGATTGGTCAGCGGGCTGCTCAGTCACAAAGAAAGTCACCGCCCCCTCTTTCCAGCCCTCCTCCTCTCTTTTGGTTTCTTCCTCTCTCTCTCTCTCCCTCTTTCTCTCCATTGAGAGTCAGCGAGCGCTCCACGGAGCCGAACGTGCTGCGCGCGCTGGAATCACGCTCAGTGGGAGAAGGACGCGCAGAGAACCGCGTGTGTTCATCCATAACAGGATAAATAAAACTTTTCATGTCAAACTTTTTATTTATTTTTTTTCTACAGTAAAAACTCACATGGTCACTCAACATAAAATATGACAAAACGCTTGAGTTCATCATCTGGTGATGATTTTTAGTCAAATCAATCAAATAAAAATAGTTTTTATGAAAAAAATGACGTTGATGTGAGCTCCTTAATACAAAATGTTCTTTAATAAATGAAAAAAAGTATATTACAGTATCGTCAAAATCATATTTGAAAAATGTCTTCATTTTCTTGTCATTATTATTATTATTATTATTATTATTATTTTATTATCATTATTATTTACAGCAGGAGTGCGCCCTGAGTTTTGGTGTTTTCGTGAGAGCAAAAGGTCCCTCGGGAGCGCCCAGTCGAGTAGATTTATTACCTGAAAAAGATAAACGAAGCTCTCAGTCGGGCTGATTTTGAGAAATGAAGATAATAACGTTACTATAGGTGATGCCTCGGATGCCATTATTTTTCCCTGAATATTTAAAGAGCAGCTGCGGGCTAGATGGATCTGGTCCACTCTCGTGTCAGCTATCTTTTAGTTTCGACTAGCCTTACTATTTACTTATTCATGAAAAAAAAAAAAAAAAAAAAAAAGGAGAGCAAAGGGGGGGAATCAAATACCTCTGACAGCCCTGAGTGATCTTCTTTTACTTCTTCTTTTTTTTTTTCCATCAGAAAATTACCCAAACTTTTAGTTTCAAAGTACATTAACTATATGGTGATAGATTAATAAGCTGTGATCATCAGAGTCAAAAGGTAAATGAGCAATAATAAAGGAGGCGGGGCGAATGGTGCACGCAGCGCCCCCCCCTTCCGGAATGATGAGCACCTAACTTTAAAATGCTGCAAGAAAAAAAAAAAGGGGGGGGGGGGGGACTGCAATATTATAATGTCCCGGGCTGGAAAATCAATGGTGAGTTAATTGACGTGAGTGTTGGTGTGAGATTGTAAACAGGGTGATTTGCAGCTCAGGCCAGAGGCAGACGTTTTAAATGGGATCCACTCCGGATGGTGCGGGGTACAGTGTCACGCACCACTCAGGGAGGGGCTGAATGACACGCAGGGACAAAGTTAGGGGGCACAGCTGTGAAGTTACAAACGAACTTAAACATTTCTATTCTTTAGACACACATTTAGCTGCATATTATTATTATTATTATTATATTATTATTATTATTATTATTATTATTCACCAATAAAAATATTATGTATTTTTAATAAACTCTAATAATAACAATTTAAGACTTACAAAAGAAAAAAAAAACAGAAAAACAATTTAATAATCTTTTTTTAAATATTAATCATAAACATGAAAAAAAAAACAACAGGAATTTAAAAATATAATTGATTAAACAAAACAAACAAACAAACCGAAAAAAGTTATCACCAGCAGTCAAAATGAACAAAATAGATGTGTATGCTGAGTAAAAGTCTTTGATGCGCATAAGATGCGCATTTCGGGGTGTCACGCGCAGTCAATACCGCGCGCGCCATACAGGAGCAGGTCTGGCCTGGCCCGCGTGCCATCACTCACTGTTATCGCTGGCACGTCATGATTGATCATATAACGCGGGAACACGGCGCGTTTGAGCGCATAATGCGGTAGTTTAAGGCGGTGGAACCTGTTAGTGATCCTCCTCACTCGGTGTATTTCTAACAAGAGCGCCCCCCCCCCCCCCCCCCCAACACACACACAGCTCTAGTTGTGTGACACCGTGTTCAACACGTGGTGGGTTTCTATTCACCGTCCTGCTCGACGCAGACTCCTGCGGAATTACAACGAGCTGGATCCGGCCTTCATCTGGGTCAGCTGCACGTGAGGGTGCGCGTGCGCGCGGCTGTCAGCGCGGGCAGAAGAGCAAGGAGGCAAAAGTTGGAGGATGCGGAGACTCAGCTGAAGTGAGCTTCGTGTGAAAATGAGACAGAAAGTAACAGGTTTCATCTACATTTTATATATTAATGTCAAATTTGAGAGCACCTGCTAAAATGTACACTATATATATATATATATATATATATATATATATATATATGACACTAGTACAAGGTCTTATTAATGACATGCCAAAAGGATTAGGAGCTTGATTAAAGGGATTGTTGTGAGCTGGCCTCATGCTCAAAGAAACAGTGAAATAAACGCACAGTTTCCATCAATCAACTCACACATGCTGTCACTTGTTTAAAACAAGTTCAGCGAACTTTTGTTCAAGATGTCCTGCAGAAGCTTTCAGGGGCGCATGACTTTGCAAACATGTACAATGTCAATACTTGAAACATATACAACGAAGTCTGTTTTTGTAAACCGAGAGACCTGCAGTATTTTAAAAATTATTATAAAGCTGAGAAGAAAGCTATTTGAAGACACTACACAAAGTACTGGGGACCTCCTGTGTTTAAAGTATGAGGTGAAATTACTTTTGTTTTCCCTAAATTGTTTCTCTCTGAAGGAATCGACTGCATCAAAAGTCCAATACCTGCAGCGGTACGGACTCGCCTCCATTAATTAAGAGCTCAAACCCTCCCTATTGTCCTCCAGCAGTCCTGCCACCGCTTGTCCCACAGAATCTCCCTCCCCCCAGCCTCCGACCCCCTTGCTCCCCTCCATCTCCTCTCCACGGCAGCTTCTTTGAGCATCAGTTTGCCTGTTTTTGTTTTTACATGAACTCAGCTGCCATCACAGACACCTTCCTCCACTTTTTCAGTGTCGTCCTGCTTGAGGGGAAACAAGCGAACGTTCGGGGGTGGCACTGAGGTGCACATGTCTAACACTGTGTGTGTGTTAGACAGAGGGGGAAAGAGGATGCACGATGCTCAGCTTACTCAGGATGGATGTCTACGTGTGTGTGATGGTGGTGGTTGAACCCCTGTGTTGGAAGAACTGGAAACCAGATATCACAGACAGAAATAGTTCAAACACAAATTTGCATCTTGTTGCCTAGCTGTTGGAATGGAATATGCTTAAAACGGTATTTAAAAGCTCTAAAAACCAAATGAAAATTGGTATAATTATGTTTGAACTGTTAAAATAATCTCAAACAAAAGGGATTTTTTTTAAATACACATTTTTATTGAAATATCCTATGTTTAAAATATGCACCCAAGTCACGAGAAATTTAAAATACACCTTTAGGTTTCTCCTTTCTCCTTCTTGACCTATAAGGCCTGTTTCCCATTACTTTGAAATTGTCTTTTTTCTGAATAGACTCTCACTCAGGGGCGCAATCATTAAATCCTTCGATCGCTATGATACAAATTTCCTTGATTGTATCTGATTAAACAGGCTCGCTTGACTTGGATTAACGAGAAACACCGTGGTACTGGACGACCACCAAGACTCGTTTCCTCTGAGCTCCGTCGTGTTCTTGAAAAACACACTCTGCTTTCATATGACATTGACGGATGGTATTTGGACGAAGAGAGATGCTTTAGATGGTGAGACGTTTTCGCAGGACGGAGGCGGATTGCGCTGCCACACTGAGACTCGGAGGTTGCGGAGGACCTAAGCTCTCCAGACATCTTGAAGAAATTACAGACATCACCCCTAGAAAGCTGAGTGTTTATGTATCTTTTTAAGAACCTGGAAGCAAAACTAAAAATTACACATTGAATTATCCCCGGCATTGCTTCACACGCTCGTAAACACAGAACACGGTGTACACATGCCATGTCTGTGCCACGGCCACAGAGTAAGCCGGGCGAGCATTGGAAGCACACAACAAAGCAGTGTGCAGGTAACCACCGAGCCAGCAGACACGGCACGTAACCCCCCCCAAAGAAAAGCATGCGCATACTTACAGTAAATACACCCACAAAGTCGAAACAAGTGGTTCATTTGCTGCAACTCTGGGCACAAGATGTTTATCAGCTGCTGCCAGACAGCTGTGCTGGTCGGCGAGCAGTTAACTGAGCCTCAGACAGGCCCTTATTGCTATTGATAGTTAGCATCAGTGTCCCGGCTGAGGAATGGCACAGCTATGGGCTAACAAAAGCTATTGATCTCCATCTGGTTCCAAGTGAAGCTGAAGAGGGAGACTGGGTACACGGGGAGGGCTGGATGGTCCTCATGGCACTCCTGGACTCTCTGTGTGGAACCTGAAGAAGTGGCTGGTTTTGGTTGGTTACTATTCTAATCCTCACTGGTTTTTGTTTCCGAACAATTTGCTTTCTTTTATTAAACTGCACTCAATTTGTTGCTATTAAAGAAGAAATACCTTTAAATTGATTTGCTTTTAGACT